GCTGGGCCCCAGTAGCTTGAAAAACAGAGAAATGTGCATGCCCAAAATTTCACAAGGAGAATGGAGGAGACGGCCCATGTCGGGCCAGCAGGTGATGTCGTGGTTAAAGCACTGGACCCCCACATGGCTGACTGCAGTTCAAGTCTCGGACCCAGTAGCTTGAAAATCACACCAGGAACATATGCATGCATGCCCAAAATCCTGAGAGGAGAATAGAGGGGGGACTGTGATGTGGCCATCCCCGGGGGTGGTTTCTCACTTTCCCTCTGTCCCTCCGGTATGTGCATGCAATGTCTACAGGAAAACGTGTACATAAGTGTTTATGAAAGCTTTGTCACAATTGCCAAGACTAGAAGCAGCCAAGAATGGAGAAGCAGAGGTACTTTCATGGAACGGAGTATTACTCAGCCGTAAAAGAGACCACATCGCAAAAAGATATGCTAAACCCCTCTGTGTATGCTGCTAGGTAACAGGCCAGCCTGAAAACTGTCAGGATGTGACACGTGACAAAGATCAAATGCCAACGTCTGTAAAACGGTGCAGCTCCAGAGATCTGCGGAGCGCGAGGAGAGTTCGGCAGGTGGAGCGTGGGGGCTTTCAGGAGTGAAACTGAGTGACACCTAATCACAGGAACGCGGTGCTGCCTGGTTCGCAGCCCCACAGAGCTTCACAGCACAGCCTCATCCAGGATGGACTGCAGGATGGCAGCTGCCCTGAGCCCGGCCCACATCACCCCCTTTTCCTCTCCTCACCCACAGACGCCTCGCCCTCAGGCCACCTGCAGTCTGGAGCCCCGCAGTGGCCCCTCACCAAGGCCCTCCTCCCTCGGAGGCCGAAGGCCGCTTCTCACTCTGCTTCCCCCCAATTCCTCGCTCACCACACACAGGCAGACACTCACACACACACTTGCTCACACATTCACACCACCCACGCGCACCCACGCACACTCTCACGGCCACCATCACGGGGCCGGCGTTCAGCCGCAGATGCAGTGGCCAGACCCCAGGCCCAGCACGCCCCTCCCTGCCGCACTGACAGGGTCTCCGGGGGTTCACACTCCTAGTCAGAGCTTCCTGGGGACGGGAGGGTGTCCTGGGTGCCCCGAATCAGTACCCGAGGGAGGCAGCCGGCAGCAGAGAAAGGGGCGGCGGCCCTGAGGCGTCAGCAGCACAGATGCATCTGGAGTCGCACCGCCCTCTCCACCCGCCCCTGCACGGCGGTGACATGCTGGCCCCTGTGGGACGCCCCTGGAAGCCCTGTGCCAGGCGCGTGCCCACGACCTGGGCTGACGGGGTGGGTTGCAATAGGAAAACCTTCCTGGCATGTTCATGAGGAAACCTTGTCCGTCTCTTGAGAAATAAATAAACAAAACAACCTTGGTACCGCTGACCTGGCAGGTATTGTATGCTCCCTGTTTAAATGTGATGTCGGTGAGGGACAGAGGTGGCCCACAGCCGCTGTGGCGGCCCAGTCTGTGGAGGGCAGCGAGGGGAGGCCAGCTGTCCTGCCTGCTCTCGCGACACTGGATCTGGTGGTGGCTTAGAGCCCTGGTGCCGGGGGACTGCTCAGGGGCGCCCAGGGCCTGCCCAGCAGCCTCCTCCCCACCACCACGGACGCCCCGACAGCAGGAGGGCCGGAGAGCACGCAGGAGCTGCAGCCGTGCACGCCGTAGTCTGGAAGAATGTAAGAGAGGGGCGGGCAGGGCGAGCGCGGTCGGCAGCCAAAGGCAGCACGAGTCGTCCAGGCGACAGGAGGCACCGTTTGCAGACGATGGTCCGGAGAGGACTTGCACTGCGCGAGCGTAGGCTGGTGCTTGCAGGCCGTGGGAAAAGTGTCAGATGCTTCGTTATTTTTAGAAAGTCCGAGGATGTGTTGCCGGGTAAGAGAGGAACTAGGAGGACTCCGGGCCGTGCGAGTCTCGGCCGGCCGGGTCAGCAGAGCTGTGGGCAGCAGGAAGGCCGGCCTGTGTGGGGATGGCCACCAAGCCCGCTCCGGAGCCGGAGTCTCGCGGAAATGACGCCTGATGGGGAGGTAACTACAGAGAAATGCTGGTTCCACGCTCCGGGTCTGAGTACTGTCGGAGCCCCAGAGACAGGTACGAGAGCGCCTGACGGGCAGGGAGGGGAAGGGAGAGCCCTGGAGCAAAGCCGGGCAGCGAGGAAGCAGCCGAGGCTCACCACACCGATTCCGTGATGGCTTGGGCGCACGCTGGCCGAGCAGGGCGCAGACTCCCGAGCACCCGCGTCCTGGCTGCAGCACTGGCGCAGAAGCCGGTCAGCTCCGCGCTTTGGCAGCAGTTCTGGGTCTACAGCCGGGGCAGTGTGGCAAGGGGACACGCTCCTCTCACCCAGCCTGCAGCGTGTGACTGCAGCGTGTGAAAGCTGTGTCCCCGTCCCCACCCCATCGAGCCTTCCTGGCTCATCTCGTGGGCTGGTGTTCAGGACATGGTCCTCATAAAGCCACTCACGGCTTGCAGAGGAGCGTCATTGTCCTACTGAGGAAGTAGACACGGGACCGAGGTCAGTGAGGCATCAAGCTGTGAAAGCTCAGCACGCAGTGAAGCCGCGTGTACGAAGTGCCCCTTTCTCCAGGCTGTGGACAGTAGTAGGTGATAGTCCACGCAGCCCGTGCAGAACCCACCCCACGGCAGGCTCCAGCCGCCACTGCATTGGCCAGGCTGGCAGTCCTGGGGACGTGAGGTCCCCACCGGGCCCTCCTTCTGCCCGCACACGGTGATGCCCCATCGCAGGACGGAAAGAAGCCGGCACCTGTGCGTGGGCAACGGCTCCTGCTGACCAGAGCAGGGCCCGGGAGACTGCTGCGGTGTGTCCGCTGGTTCTCCTGGAGCCCACCAGCTGCAGCATCGGAGGCAACGCCCGCAGGCAGGGATGGCCGGACAGGCCGTAACCTCCCGTGAAATCTTCCCACTGAGGCCAGACTCAGCTTCAGACTTCCTCCGTGACACTCCAGGCAGCCCAGCCAAGCCTGGGGGGCTAAACTCACGACAAAAGTCAGCTCCCTGGGAGGGGACGGGTGGGGACAGCTGAGGCCCTCCGAGCAGCGCAGCGAGCTAGCTTCCGAGCTGGGTCTGACCTGTCGGAGGCTGAGAGCGCACACCGGCTGCAGGGGGTGGCATGGTCAGGCTCTGCTTCGCTGCCCAGGTCTCCCTGGGGCCAACAGTGGCCCGTCTGGGAAGAAGGAGGAGACACGCAAGCTGGCCCCTGCTCCCGTGGCGTGCGGGAGGGCCCTGCCCGGCCAAGGGCGCACAGGGCACCGCCGGGCCGCCTCCCCAGCGCTAGGCGCATGCTGCAGCCTCTCAGCTCGCCACCTCTGAGCCCACCGCCGGGACGCCGTGCAGAGGCTGTGAACGCTGAGGAGGGCCTACCTACGGGAGGCGAGCACCGAGTGCCAGCCGCGACCTTCCCGTCGCTCTCGGTAAGGGTGCAGCCCGCAGCTGGAGCGCAGTGGCCAGGAGTGGCTGGTGGTGAGGCGCTGAGGCCCGGTAAAAGGCCCCACGGGAAGACTCCAGTGACAACGCGGCCCCCACATGGCAGGAGCGGTGGGCCAGGGGGAGAGGACCAGCTCCGGAGCTGGTCACAGGGCAGGGTGCAGGGGGCAAGGGGCCCTGGGGGCTGTGTGCCAAAGCCTGTCGGAGGGTCTGATCGGAGGCCACCGCCCTGCACCGCGGTTTCGCCACACCCCCGATGCTGAGGCCCCATGGGCAGGGTGGCCTGTGTGCCCACCATGCTGGCGGGCAGTGGCTGGCAGTAGGGTCACAGTGTGAAGACTTCTGGGGGATGTCTGTCTGTCTGTCCCTCTGTTGCTGTCCCTCATGGACGAACTAGATGGGGCAGGACAGTGCAGGGATGTCTGTCTGTCTGTCCCTCTGTCGCTGTCCCTCATGGACGATCTAGATGGGGCAGGACAGTGCAGGAATGTCTGTCTGTCTGTCCCTCTGTCGCTGTCCCTCATGGACAAACTAGATGGGGCAGGACAGTGCAGGGCTAACAGCGTGCTCTGACACCTGGCCCATGGGGGTGTGCAGGGTGTCCAGAGGCCGCCCTGACTGCAGACACAGGCGGCTGGGTGGGGCCTGGCTTCCAGACCCTACTGCCTCTGCTCTCTCGCTCATGGAGAAAACAAATCATCTTTCAAATAAGCAAAGTAACAAAGGGGAAGTGGGCCAGGGCAGACACGACTAGACACGTGGGGAGAGGCCCGACGGGGACATAGGACCCCCGGTTCTTCCAGTCGTCCTCGCTGTGGAAACGGATTCTACCTGGGCCTGACGGCCTGGCTTCCAGACCCTACTGCCTCTGCTCTCTCGCTCATGGAGAAAACAAATCATCTTTCAAATAAGCAAAGTAACAAAGGGGAAGTGGGCCAGGGCAGACACGACTAGACACGTGGGGAGAGGCCCGACGGGGACATAGGACCCCCGGTTCTTCCAGTCGTCCTCGCTGTGGAAACGGATTCTACCTGGGCCTGACACGCTCCTCCACGCGGCGCCCGGATTTCACCTTCAGGCAAGGGACCACCATCCCTGCTATCCAGAACCCGCATGCCAAGTCAGCCGCCGGCCAGCCCTGGCGGGGTGTCGTCCCAGAGCCTCTCCTGCCTTCTCCTCGGCCTGCCCTGCAGCGCAGTGGGAGCCGCCCAGGCCTCACTCTGGCAGCATTCCCTGTGCTTTTCTGCCGTCCCAGGAGGGAATCAAAACGAGGGAACAAAAAGACATCCCGGGCGGAGACCACATGCCTACGGACGCCGAGGACACGGAGTCCTCTGGGCTGCCGGCGAGGACGGAGGGGCTGTGGGAGCCGAGCTCTGACCAGCGTTCCCAGTCTGGTGCGGTGGATTCTTGAATCCGAAATCGGCCTCAGAGATCCTTTCAGAGCCAGGCCGAGTTCCAGACCTAAATCATTCCTGGCTCTAGGGTAGCATCTGCCCACGAAATAGGCTTCCACCAAGAGCTGAAACTGCAGCCGTCATCCGGAACAGCCTCAGACGGCGTTTCTGCAGTTCGAGACTCTGCCGCCGCCCGCCATCTTGCCAGTTAGTCCTGTGGGCAGGCCCGGGGGTGGTGGCAGTGCTGAGGTCCTGAGGCAGGTGCATGTGGCCATCAGGTGTGACACCCGAGACAGTGAGGCCCGCAGCACTTCCTGTGTGTTCAAACCGTGTCCTCACAGCAGAGAAGCTGGGCTGGTGGGCACGGTCTTCACTCTTGGCCCAGCTGAGTGGGACAGATTCCCAGGAGGGGAGTTGATGACCCTTTCCACACAGCATTTACTGCGGATATAGACGAGTTTTGACTCAGGAATTTATTTTTTATAAAAGTGAAAGTCAACTCCATTTGTTAACCTTCAGAAACTCCAGGCTGTGCAAGCAGATATGGAAGAAGATGCTAAGCACCTGAGTTATGAAAGCCACCGAGGTCCCTGGCAGACGCCCCCCTGGCTTCAGAGCCAAGCACGTCACCTCTGGAGATGCCTCCTGGCGGCCCCCACAGGCCAAGCCTGGGTCCTGCCAGCTGCGCTGGTGTGCGCGATGCCCACCGCCTGCCCACCTGCGGTGCCGAGGGTTATGAGGAAAGGAGGCTGCTGTGCAGAGGGAAGGGGCAGCCTTTCATCACGGAGGGGGTCAGACTGCCTCATTCACACCACTGCAGGGGTCCCGTGCTCAGTCACCCTGCTCTCCACCCCAACTACATGAAACGCAGCCTCCATCAGGACGGACACAGCGCGTTAGCTTGGTTAAAGCAGGCCCCGGGCCGCAGGATGGAGTCCTGACCCCTAACTGCTCGGAAACCAAAATGCACCGGCAGCCAAGTGCAGGGAACAGACTGGCCGAGTCCTGAGCAAAGGTTCATTTTCCTCACGCCTCAGAATCACTTCCTCCCACCAGGGCTGCTACTTTCTCCAGTGAGAGTCTCCTGCGAGGGTAAACCAGCGTGACCTGCCCTGTGCCATGCCGGGCGATTGAAGGGGCTACCCCTCTCAGGGACGGCCATGAGAGGCCTGAGTCGGTAGCTCTGCAGGGGCTCATCTCAAACTGTCCCCGCGGAAGGTGCTAGTCCCACCCCGAGGTGCAAAGTCTGTGCTGGCCGACTTTAAACCTCCTCATCCCATGGAGTCAGAGTCGGTGATGGTGACTTGGATAATTCTGCGAGAAACTCGAAGGGTTAAGAGACAGATTAAAAAGCCCAGTCCCAACATGAGACAGGAGTTTCCACGCCTAGCTGAAGACACCCAGGGGATCTCAGTCCTCCCTCACCTGAATGGCAGGAGAGAGCAGCACCCCGCGTCCCCTAGACACAGGCTGGGGCAGCAACAGCACCCGGCAGCCCCGCGGCCCAGGGCCTGGGCTGGTGGCCTCGTGGGGTTCCCACTGCAGAGTTACAACAACGCGGGAATATGTCGAGCGTAAGAAGAGTGTAGACAGGGAAACATGCTTTTGCTTGTTACGTCGTGGAGAAATCTCATCTTCTTCTAATTCGTCAGAGGGCATGTGAGCTTGTCCAGGAGAGACGAGGGGGAAAGAAAGCACCCTGCAATGGACGTGCTCACACCGCCACCCCTTCCCCACCCTCCACCGAGTCAGGTTTGGGGACATGGATGCTCATGTGCCCAGAGTGATTTTCAAGCTGCCAGGCCAGAATTCAAGCAGCAGGGTTGGCCCTGTGGGATCTGACTCCCTTAACCCCTAGGCCATGGGGCCAGCCCTGAAAAATCTCATCTGGGTTTCTTTTAGGAGCGTTATTTAAAAAGTTCCATGTATAATGTAACTACCGACAAAGCTTAATAACTTGGAAGCCTGGTGGCCATGGTGCTCCTCTGTGAGCTTCCCTTTGGGGTTAGGCATGTGTGCATGCCCCAAATCCTAAGGAGAATGGAGGAGAGACTGCAGTGTGGCCATCCCCCGGGGGTGATTTCTCACTTCCTCTGTCTCTCTCTGTTTCTCCAACAAGCACACATGCCCTTTAGCAAAAGTCTCTAAAAAATAAAAAGATTGAATATATCAGTAGAAACTCCCTCCTCTTTCCTTCCGTGCCCCTTTCCTCCCCAAGCCGGCCGAGTGCAGGGCGGGCCCCCTCCCACC